GGTCAGGTCTTTGGGAGTTCATAGTAAAAAAAGGCTTTAAATAATATTTCGGCTATATATCCTCATAAAAACATACGATTTTCATAGGCTGTGTGTGGTCGAACAACATGGGAGAGTTTTGAATGATGAGAATCGTTCCAACAAGATTCACCATGGTGAAGATGATAAGTACCAATCTGTCAATAACATTGGCAACATACGACCAGTCGGAGGATATCTAAAGAGTAATATAGGCAGCATAAGAATGTCTATGCTGTTAGATTGTCACGGATAAATTGGAAAGCAAAATGCACATTTTGGTAAAATAGAGCTTCCTTTTGTTCTGTTTTTACCAACCTGATTAGATAAAAGTATCTCAATAAGAATTATTTTTAATGGAGGCTCGGCGCAATAGAAATCGGAACGATTTTCTATAGCCAAAGCTCTCTAAACATTTGTTTAGAAGATGTACCTTATCTTCTTTCTTCATGGCACGAAAATGGTCGGCAATGAACGACACATTGTCAATCATTCTCCTTATCAAATCTGGATGTAGCCCTCGAAGGTGTGCCAATTGTGATAATCTCATCTAAAATGAGTCTCATATATTTTAAACCATAGTTAAACTTTATAATAAATGCTAAAGTCACCTTATTCAGTTCTCCCCTGGTTTTATTCTTTTCCTCTTCATTCATACCTGCTGGCACAGTTAAGAAATAGGGTGAAGGTCGACGGGAGGAATCCAGAAATTGGCCCACGTCTTGAACGTCTAGTATTTTTAATTTTAAGGCAGAGAAGGATTGTAATTAGCTTTACAGACCTGTTGTACTGCTCCCGCGATCGCTGACCTCCTCCTCCTCTGCTTTTTTGATTCCTATATATTTAGGCAATGTTTCTACAAATACAACTTGTATCCAGTGCGGCATTGGATGCGCCGAGCCGTCCCTGAAGAGCAAGGTAGACTTTACAGCAGGATTAATGAATTATTTGAAACTGACGAAAATTTTGAAATATTTGCTTGAACTTTTGCTGAAGAATAGATCTGAACGTTACTTGCAAGAACAGCCTATTTCAATTACTTAAGACAGTAAATGACCTACCTCCGGTAGTAATTAAGAGAAAGAACCGATAGGAAGATAGAAATCGCTACAAGAAACATGGTGAATAAGAGATATCGGCCTAAAAAAATTAGAAAATGGATAAATAGTAATTGACGATCCTAAGCTAACATTACATTATTACATATGATTCTAACGAAAAACTTTTGTTGTATGAATCTAGCAATACAGGAAAATGCTGTGCAACAAGTATTTCCCTTAGAGAACATTGTGGTAACCTATAGTGTGCATATAGCTAGTGTCAAGTTTGCTCTCCGCCCTATTTCTAGGATTTTAGAGAAAAG